GAGCTATCCCCTGGCTCTTGAGGTGAAAGATATTAAATCCCCACCTTGTCAGGTGATCGAGGAGGTCACGGGGCGTGTTAGATGTGTTTCACCCACTGCACGTCACGATCCTTTGACGGGGACGGCAGCGTTCTCCCCTTTAGGGTATATGCAGATACAGGGGACACGGGAATACCGTAGGGTATACCCCTGATATCTATACCTGAGCAGAGTGCCAAAGGCACCGGAATTCGCCTGGTGTAACGACAAGAGAATAGTTGATTTTGTCAACTCGAGGTTCACTTGTTGTTTTCAGAAAGGACGATATGGTTGAGCACCGGTACCAAGCTTGAGTTTAAAAAGGGGGCGAGACACGCTGATTGACGCAGTAGACACAACTTTGTCTGCATATTGGTTTTGTTAGTTGTTTGAGGTTCGTTTTGTTGTCATATGTCTCTCAATGACGATAGCGAGAGCAACGTTCTTGAAGGTGTTCAGAACTTGGAGTTGCTGACAGATCTGAGGGAGACATCATGAAGAAAAGTTGAAGTTGTTCTTGATTGGCTTGATTGCGGTATTTTCATGTCTTGAGTTTTGTTGCTTAAAACATTGAACTTGATGTTGTGAGTGTTTTCACAAATATTTGGTATGATTGTGTTGTCATGGCACATGATGAGAACCTGGGAAGAAACTCAGGCGGAATCTGAGTTTAAGAGAAGGAAAATCTTCCGGGGAATCTGATGCCATGATTGCAGACATATTGCACCCTCATGTCATGATATAGACTCGAACAAGACATACCACACCTCCGAGATCTTTAGGATGGATCAGACGTTGAAAGGGGGACGGCGATCTATGCGATGATGAAGCTGTGAGAGATGTTTTGTCAAAATGTCCCCCACCGCTTCCTCATTCCGTGCCAATCTTAGCTAGTCCTGACCCTGACTGTGAAAGATTTTCACTCAGAACATTTTGAATTTGTTGTGCAGTGACTGTGAACTGTACTTCACTTGCTTTGAATTTGAGATGAATTGCATGAGTGATATTACTTCACTTGCGTTTTCTTTTCGTACGCCTACCTTCTACACGAAGGTGCGGATTAGCTGAAACAGTTGGCCTTTGTTTTCGTGTTGACTCCGATTGTGTGACGTTAGGTTTCGTCTTGGGCCTCGTGTGTGTGTGTTTGTTTGCGTTGTTCTGTTGTTGTTGTTGTTGTTTTGTTTGTTGTAGGAAACAACAGCACTGTAGATACATCGTTATTGACGCTATGGTTTATCCGAGGAACTGGATTTTGGAAGACGAGTTTAGTACTGGAAAGACTTTAGGAGTCTTTGGACTGAGTCTGGTATTCCGACATCTGGTTTTCGCAACAGAGAAGATTTTGAATTTGGAAGCTACGACACTATGCATGAGTCGAACGAGATGAGTTTTGGATGGTGCTTTATCATCTACTTTGTGTTTTGGAAGACGTGTGCTTCTTTGGATACCGTTTTTTTTATGGATTCTGGAACGTGAGCATTTTTCTGCGGATATTCGAATGGTATCCGTACCTGGCAGTGATGTGAGTGGATGAGATGTCATGTCGAAAGGGGGTATGGAAATTTGACACCCTATGGGAACATCCTTTGGATAAGGGTGAAGCGACATGTCATTCATCATGGTTGTATAGTTTGTGCACAGAGGATACGTGGAAGGCTACTACAAGAGTTCATCGCGTCATGGAAGATTGGTAGAGAACACTCTACTTATTGCGGAAAGAATCTTGTATGTGACCATCCTGTGTCACAATATTCTATTGGTCTTCGGACTTATCATTTCAGACATCAGGATGATGTCATTGATCAGTGTTGACCAGTGATTGTGGTATATTGATCAGTTCTACATCTTATTCTGGATTCGACCTGAGTCTGGTACAGCTTATTGCTTGAGCTGAAGATACCTACATTGGTTTGACATTGAGACGACCTCTTGTGTCCACGATACTCCTGGACACTGAACATTGTGAAGTTCATTCTCTCCAAGTGATGAGAACACAACTAGAATCAACTAGAAACTCTTGGAGAAGAGTTTAAGCTAGCTGGAAATATCTGATGGAGAGAACCTATTATGCTTTGAGTTTGGATTATGAGATGCATTGGCATTGTGAGGACAATGTCCATATTTGGGCATCTTATTTGTCTGAGAGTTTTGTGATGAGATGTTTCGGTATTGTGAGGACAATACCTACATCATCGTCATCGTGACCTATGGATCATACACTTGATCTTATGGTGTGCATTTTATCGTTCCTGAGACGACTTTGGTTATCTCTATGATAACGACATTGTTTTGAGACGACTTTGGTCTACATTGTGGATTGGCTATTACAGTGGTCGAAAGACTTCAGCGATACAACTGTATTTGGCTGACCTACATTAACAATGTCGAACAGAACATTCTATTCTACATTGAGGTTGGAAGCTGTGAGATGCTTTCTCTATGTGGAAAACTGATTTGGAGAAAGAACTTTGTGTTCTGACTATATTCAGAGGAAGGTTGTGCAGACACCTTGTGTGAATCGCTTCGTTCTTGAGAAGTTAGTCAGCTTATGACTAGTGAGCTGGTTGTTCACGTTTGGATGAGAACCAGTTTGCTTTGAGAACTTTTGGAAGTGTTTCGATGATTTTGAATTCATCTAGTGAAATTGAGTTTTGTAGACTTCTAGCAGCTGGAATAGTTTCAACAAACCTTTATTTGAAGAACTTGAGGTTTGTTAACTGGAAACCTGAAATCGAGTTTACCAGTTGAGACATCGGCTCGAAGGACTGGTGTCAGAAGTTCATTTAATGAACAAGAGCTGCTGTGTCACATAACTTGACATAAGACAGACCGACACAGGGAACACGAACACATCTTGCTTCTCTGTTTGCTTCCTGTTTTGCCTTGTTTTGTTCGTTTGTTGTGTTTGTGTTTCCCCGTGACTGATCGTGTTGCGTCTGGAGCGAAAAGAAGAGGCTTGACGTCAGCATGTGGGAGTCGAGGGAGAAACATTCCTTTTGACACGGTTGTGCTTTAGTTTAATTAGATTTGGGAATTTACGCTCTGCACTTGTGTTTGGTGTGCGTGGTTGACGTACGCGTCCGCCTGCGTAGTTCTGTAGGAATTTTGGATGAAGCGTTGGATCTGACCGCAGATCTGTGCACGGCGCTTTTTCTACAATTCAGAAGCTGTGGCTGTCATGCTTAGAGCATGACCCCCATGAAGAAGAATGCCGACAACCTGAAGCAATACCGAGTAGTCCGATTGCACCTGCACAGAAGAGAGCAAGATCAGTTGACACAGGACAAGCCACGCAACAGCAACCTGGCCCCCCTATCAAGCTGCCTAAATCAAGGAGCGTTGAAAACCTTGCGGCCAGTGCTGTACGGTCCCCGCCCCCTGACCATACAGGAAATATCGAGGATGAGGTTGACTTTGGTGGGTCAGAACCCTCGAGCCCACACCCAACTGAGCGAGAAGAAGAGAAGAGCAGCAACTCCTCGCCCACGGCCCAGTCGTGCCCAGGATCGACTGACAAACGAGCTACCACTGAAGCACAGAAACCTGTGGCCAAGCAATACTTGAGTTGAAAACTCATGATGAATTATGACAACAAAGTTGAATTTGTTTGGAAGTTGTTAAACAACTTCCTTACAAACCAAAACACCTTTCCAAAAAAAAAAGATGAACAAGTTGTCTTGGTGGTAACACCAACTGAATGTTGCAAGCAAAGTGCTTGCTCATTTTCGTGCTGTTCTTGCACATGCGATGTTTTTATGTTTGAAACGAAACAACTTTCTTTTGAGGTTTAAGGTTGTTTCTCCAGATGTTATTTGTCTGTTACGAAGCTATCTGTGAATTTGAATCAATGTTATGTCCGGTATTTTACAAGTCAAGGGTGGGCGCGGAGGGTTTCAAAAACCTTTTTCCAATTTTTGTGGAGCGTTCATGCGCAACAGAGCCATTCAGAAGGGTCACACTGCATTCAAGTCACCGCTGTGCTTGGGAAGTCAACCTGCACCAATTTTTGGTACATCAGCTGTGGCAATCACTGGAATTCTGACTGGATTTATCCTGGCTTTTGCGATTTTCATTGCCTGGGTTTTCTCCATTGATGCCTAGACTGTTGTGTGACTTGGAACGCTTTACAAACGGCTATCGAATTTCTGGGCCCTTTGTTTCTGAGTTGTGGCTTTCATTTGAGATTTCCGTCACCTTGATTGCATTTTTGGACACTTTCTCACAAGCACGCCTGCATCTTTGCTGCGTTGTCCTGCAGGTGGATCGTACGGAAATTGGTTTGGGTGCCACAGAGAAACGGCTCCAGATTCAACTGGAAAGCTGGGGTGTTCCCACACCACCAGTACAACCTTGTCTACCCAGGGTCCCATCGGACTCAACGTCCAGTTTTAGCAGTTTCGATGGCCAATCAGACTGAGCACACAGTGGAAAAAGGGGAGAAGAGAAGTTTTCATGCTCTCTTTGAGCACATTCAATTTTGTGAGCGATCCATGAAAAGGTCTGCACTGAAATATCCATGGCAGCTTGGTTTCATGGCAGATTCAGACCAGTCGGCATTCCCTAAGGGCCCACTGGGTATGTCTCCAGTGCTGCCTGCTGCGGTGTCAAGTTCAGATCATGCGGAGCCGGCTGATGAAAAGCTGGCAAGTGCTTTTGATGATCATTGCAGAAGACTTTACTGCAAGCTGCCTCAGGTGGAGTGGGATGTGCACCTGGACTCTCAACGTAGCGCTGCTTTGGCTAAGTGGCACAAAATTGTTCTGTCCGACCCTATGTCTTTTGATGTGTGCAGGATGCATTTTCAATCGTTGAAGACGGGACTCCAAGGAGGCAAGCTTCAGGACGATTTGAAAAATGTCTTCTCGAGCAAGAGCACTTCCACACTTCATGGTAGGGCTGGTCCTATGATGCGATTTTTGCATTTCTGCGGAGACAAGCAACTGCAGGCTTTTCCTATCACAGAAGAGGTTGTGTATGCGTTTATGCAACATGTTGAGCAGTCTGCAGCACCAACCTTTTTGAGGAGTTTCCTCAGCTCCTTGGGATTTGCTCTGCATGTGGTTGGTTTGATCGGTGCCAAGCGAGTTTTGGATTCCAGGCGCATCAAGGGCCTAGCAGACAAGTGTTACCTTCAGAAGAAAAAGACGAGATCGAGGTTGCCTCTATCGGTTGCAGAACTGACAACACTGGAAGAAATCGTTCTTGGCTACCGAGGACGTGGAATCCCAGACAGACATGCAGCTGGATGTTTCCTTTTCATGGTGTACGCACGCACCAGGTTTTCGGACATGCTCAACGTTGGGCGTTTGGATTTCGAAGCTGGTGAAAATGAAGAGGGATACATAGAGGCGCAGGTTGCCAGGTCCAAAACCTCCTTTTCTGTCGACAGAAAGGTCCGTTTGCTTCCTATGACAGCTGCAATGCATGGCGTCACTGCAGAACCTTGGGGAAGTGCATGGAAAGCGGTGCTAGAGAAGACCGGCATCGCCATCACACATGGAAAGCCGCTACTTCCTGGGAGGACTCCTGATGGCTGGCACACTTTACCATTGACTGCGGAGGCGGCAACGAGCTGGCTTCGTAGTATGTTGCAGTCAGGGGATCGATTCCAAGAGGAGAGAACCAAGTCCATAGGGACGCATTCATGCAAGTCCACCATTTTGTCGTGGATGGCGAAGTGGGGCTCTTCACCGGATCTCAGGAGACTGATGGGGTACCACGTCGCTGACAAGATGTCAACGATGCTCATATACGGTAAAGACAACACCAGTGCAGGGCTTCGCGAAATCGATGTGATTCTTGAGGCGATCAGGCAGGGTGAATTTTTGCCCGATGCAAAGCGATCTGAGATGTTTCCCAATGCCGATGATGCTGCAAAGCTTCTGGAGAGCCAAGACCAAAGCGGTTTTGATGGCTACTGTTCTGGAAGCTCTTCAGAGGACTCTGCAGATGAGGACCAACCTGACCACCTGGCTCATGAGACAGCAGAGAATGCGATCCTCGGCAAGTGGGACGCGGGTGTGGACGTCGACAAGCTGCCCGAAGAGGCAGTTTATTTCAGGCATCCTTTGTCGAGGACGATTCACGTCCAAGAGGACGAATCGGGTATCAGGTTCACTTGTGGCAGGGACATTTCAAAGAGCTACGTACCACTTGAGTCTCGACCTCAGTCGCTTCTACCAATTTGCAAACAATGTTTTGCCAGATTCAGAAAGGCACATGTATGATGATTGACACGTTTTGCGTCAAGTTGAAAAAGACTCGCAGCCCTTTGAATGAACGTCGAAGCAGGGAATTTCGTCAAAAGTGTCGGCCTGAGTTTAACATTCTTTCATTGATGTGAGTCATGCTGCACTTGTATGTTTGTGATCTCAACACGTGTCTTGGAAGTTTGAATTCACCACGTATGTTCACGTCAAACATCATCATTCAGATTGAGAAACCTTGACCAACGGGCAGCTTGAAGGGAAATGCCCCATCGGACAGTGTCGGCTCCAAGCGTCACTCTCAGAAAAACTCAAGCAGTTTGGCCAAGTTTTCACTCTTACCATGCTTCAAATTTCAATTTTGTAATTTGTAGAGAGTTTCAAGTTTCGTCACGCCTGTCCAATCATGTTCATTTCACCAAGTTTGAAAGAACTCCGTGCGGTCCGTATCCATGTCATTCGCTGACAGCGTGCCAGTTTTCAAAGACAGGGCTGCCTCAGCGGGACTGAGCGAGGAGATTCGGACCAGTTTGGATGGCGCTGGGCTCAACACACTTTCAAAGTTTGCCTTTGCAAGTTCATATGTGCCCGGTGCCGGCGATGATGCAGAGTTTGTTAAGACAGTGAAATCAGTACTTGGAAGGGACCCTACGTTGGGAGAGCTGGCATCCTTTCGAAAACTTTTGCATGAGTCCTACTCACTTGTGACACAAGAAATGAAGCAGCAATTGGAAAGGAGTGAGGATGTCCAGACGCGTAAGTTGACACAACCAGAACGCGCGGACCTCTATGAAAGACAGGTCAAGCGCATCACAGGTCTGACGTTGCGTGGGCCCTTGGAACCAAGTGATGGCCTTGTCGATTTGTTCTGTGCGATGTATGAGGCAAACAGGCTTCGATTTGTGCCTTGGGAAAAGTACACGGCAAAAGAAGCAGAGATCGACAAGGAAGTGCGCACAGAGCATTTGTTTGCTGTGGACTCAAGTGGCAAGCTTAAAGTTGAAGGCAAAAAGCCGGACCCTGTAGCAGACACCTCAACGGAGATTTTGCTTCAGTATGCGCTCCAGCGTAGAGGGTTGAGCATGGATCAGGCCAATTTGTTGGAGTTCAGGACCCACCAATTATGGGTCGACCGCTTGCTCAAAGTGAGATTGCAAGTGCCTCCTGCAGGTTATTCAAGAACCTCCTTCCGTCAGGTGCTCGAAGCTGACAAAAAGCTCTTTGAGGAGCTTGCCAATGCCACGAGGCACGGTGTGCAGGCCACAGTCAATGGTAGGCCTCTTGACCTAGTCTTTGAAGACTGCATGAACAAACCAGAAGTTGTTCACTTGCTTCAGCCTTTGATGGGTAAGAGCACGGACTACAAGAGTGAGGATAAGCCTGCCCCGAACAGGCCTAGTCCATATAGGTCACCAAACCCTAGCAAGAGCAAAGGCAAGGGCAAAGCACAAGGCAAGAGCAAAGGGTCCCCCAAGATGCCTTTGGTTCTTCTCAATGGAGGATGTAGAGCCACAACAAATGCAGGAGATGCAATATGTTACGGATTCAACTTGGGGACGTGTACGAACAAGGTCAATGCTGGACGTTGCGATAGAGGTTATCACGTTTGTGCATTGCCGAAATGTGGCAAACACCATGCCTATGTGAACTGCCCCTCGAAGCCGTCGGGCTCTTGACTAGAAGCCCAAGAGCCTGAAGAGAGTCAGGAAGGTGAGCTGCAACGAGCAGAATCACCTAGGAGTTCAAGTCACGAAGGTGACGCCTCAACTTTGATTCCCGAAGTGGCAATTGAAGAAAAGCCTGAAAGGTGCTTCAAAGAACCCTTTCTTTTCATTGAAGCTTGTTGTGGCAGCGCACTACTCAGTTCGTGTGTTTCTAAAGCTGGCTTTGATGTGTTAGCAATTGATTTTCATGGCAACAAGCACCGACCCTTTGTGCACGTTGTTGAATTAGATTTGCGAAAGCAATCCACATGGAGTTTCTTAGAACATCTGGCACGGTCAAGGCGACCTTTCCACTTTCACGCAGCTCCACCATGCGGTACAGCTTCGAGAGCTAGAGATGTAGCTCTCACAGAAGATCAACATGGACCCCCACCACTGCGTTCAGAAGAATATCCCATGGGTTTTCCATGGCTTACTGGTTTTTGGAAAGACAAGGTAGACTCTGCAAATTCGATCTATATCCATTTGGTGGCTTTTTGTTTCTGGTTGAACCTTCTTCATATTGGATGGAGCATTGAGAATCCGGGACGAAGCTACCTTTGGAACATCGAGGATTACAAAATTTTAATGTCGGCGGCTATTTTCATACTCTTTCACTCATGCATCCACGGCAGTGACAGGAAAAAGCTTACTGCGTTGCTCACCAACCGAGCCCAATTTCAGGTTCTTGCTGGATACTGTCAAGGAGACCACGAACATCTGCCGTGGAGGCACAAGAATGAAAATGGACGTGTTATATTCGACACTAGCAAAGAAGCTGCTTATCCAAAACTTTTCTGCGAGCGGTTTGCAAATGTGCTGGCGGACATGGCCGGCATCGCGGACTCCCAAACCACGGGTGGCTTGTATGACAAAACTGCTTTAATGGACGCAAGAGTGGCTACACACAAACAGCCACGAGGCAGAAAAATTGCCGCTCTTGTGCCTGAGTATGCGCAGGTGCAGACAGTTCGAACACCTGTCCATGATGAACCTCTTCTTTCAGATAAGCGGATTCTACTTGAAGCATTTGCGGGCGTGCCAGCCGGCAGCAAGCTTCTCAGATTTGCTAAAGCGAAAAGGGGGAATGCTGGAGATGATACTCAGTTCGTCATTAGGGTTTTCGGCATTTACAGGACAATGCAAGACTTTTTCCAACTGTCAACAAATGTCTTACATCCTTTTGATTCCTTCAGAGCAGTACCCGATCAGCTACTGAAAGTGGTATGCAGAATCCTCGGCAGATCACCACTGGAAACAATGAAGTTGCGTCTGGAGACAATTAAGAAGTGGCGAAGCCTCGCAGATTCACTGGCTGAGGAAAACAACCAAATATTTTCTAACATGGATGCTGGTTGCTCCCTGGTTTTGAAAGGCAAACACCTTGCCCTTCTCGAGAAACTGGCGACTGACTATGACTGGCCTGACAAGAACATACACCAAGAAATCAGGAAAGGTTTCAAACTCATAGGACTTCAAGAACCTTCAGGCGTGTTTTCAGCTGACATTAAACCGAGATCTCTTACGGAAGAAGAACTTGTCAAACAGCTGAAGTTCTTGAAGCCGGCCCTTTGGGGAAAGGTTCAGGCCTCCCCAAAAATGGACTACGAAGAAGATCTGTGGGAAGCAACCATGCAAGAGATGAAAGAAAAACACTGGTTAGAGGGGCCGTATTCCAAATGCGAATTGGATGTGCTTTTTGATGACGATTGGTTGCCGGTGCGCCGGTTTGCAGTATGGCAGCGTTCGAAATGGCGGGCCATAGATGACTTCTCAGAATGCGGAGTCAATTCAACTTTCTCTTACCTGGAAAAGGTGGATTTGAAGGCGTTGGATGAGATCGTGTGGATGGCTTGTTGTTTCGTCAGGTACTGTGTCTTTGAGAGTCGTTTCGACTTCACTTTGGCTTCTGGCGAAAAGCTGTGTGGGAGCGTTGACGCCGAATGGAAACAGATGCCTGAAGGTGCAATCCAGTTGGTGGCAAAGACCGTTGATTTGAAATCCGCGTATAAACAATTTCCCATATGTCCCGAACACCGCAGGTATTCAACTCTGATCCTCAAGAAGCCGAGCGATGGGACGGTGATGGGATTTGTTTCAAAAACACTTCCATTTGGAAGTGTGGCATCTGTTTTACATTTCAATCGGATCTCGAGGCTCTTGCATATGTTAGGCTTACAGTTGGATGTTGCGTGGACAAATTATTATGACGATTTTCCTGTGGTAGATTTCAAAGTACTTGCAGATCACACTTCCGCTGCAATCAGGGCTTTGACATCGATGCTTGGGTTCGAGTGCTCTCTAGACAAAGAGCTACCTTTTGCGGAGACAGCAGAAATGCTTGGAGTCGTGCTCGACCTGCAACATGCCAGTGCTGGTACAATCAAGGTAGCGAACAAGCCGAGCAGGATGGACGAACTTAAGTCCACTGTGCAACATATCATTGCTTCAGGCAGGGTTGTTACCAAAGACTTGCCATCGCTTTTTGGAAGGGCTTTGTTTGTGGAAAGCCAATTCATGGGAAGAGAAGGACGGCTGGCCTTGTCGGAGCTGAGAGTCATGGAACGCAGCAAATCACAATTTGTTGAACTTTCAGCTGCACGGATGGATGCTCTTAAGAACTTGCTTACGAGGTACCATAAAGCAGTGCCGAGGTCTTTGAAGATTGAAAGCACTTCCATGCCGCTTGTTTTGTTCACTGATGGTGCCTGTGAACCCGTTGGCGATGACATTTCATGCACAGTGGGTGGAGTCATGTTTGATCCGAGAGGTGGCGGTCAAGTTGAAGTTTTCGGAGCACATGTCAGTTCCGAAGTTGTAGAGTCATGGAAGCGAGCTGGAAAGAAACATCCGGTTGCGTTGACTGAGTTGTATGCCGTATGTGTTGCACGGCACTTGTGGAAAGACAGGATGGACGATTACAAGTGTGTGGTGTTTATAGATAACCAAGGCGATGTGGATGCTCTTATCAAAGGATATAGTTCAGAAGATACGATGAAGTCCCTTCTGATCCTGCTCGAAAAGCTGGATGGTGACAAGCCGTTTTTGCCTTGGTTTTGCAGAGTTCCCTCTCAGTCGAACATCTCGGATTTGCCTTCCAGAGGTAGGTGGAAAGAGTTGCGTGAGATTTTGCCAGATTATGTCTTTGTAGAAGCAGTTTGTCCGTTTGATTCCAAGAAACTCCATACCGTTTTGCAAGAGGAAAAGCATGGCTGAAGGAAATGGGGAAAAACGAAAGCGTAGTTTGTCAAACAAACTTCAGAGCCAAGAATCAAAAATGCGTACAAAGCGATTGAGCTTCGAAAAGAGCGAAGCGCTTTTCTTTTCAGTCGAGGGATTGAAAAGATCAAAAAGTTTGAACGAAGAGTTCGTGATGAAGTGAAATTCCGAGAGACCGTTTGAACATCCCCAATTGTTCAGCCGTGCGCTGGGAAAAAGATCAGACCGTTCTGTCTCGTGCATCTCAACTGTGAATATATATATATATGTTTATATATATTCGATATATGCGTGTTCTTATTCTTACCGTGGCGATAGCCTCACCAAGTTTTTAGATTTGTAGTCGCGCGTTTGAAACATTGTTTATAGCGACTTCATTTCACGCGTGTTTTGGTTTGTGTTCAACTTTATGTCATAAGCAATACTTGAGTTGAAAACTCATGATGAATTATGACAACAAAGTTGAATTTGTTTGGAAGTTGTTAAACAACTTCCTTACAAACCAAAACACCTTTCCAAAAAAAAAAGATGAACAAGTTGTCTTGGTGGTAACACCAACTGAATGTTGCAAGCAAAGTGCTTGCTCATTTTCGTGCTGTTCTTGCACATGCGATGTTTTTATGTTTGAAACGAAACAACTTTCTTTTGAGGTTTAAGGTTGTTTCTCCAGATGTTATTTGTCTGTTACGAAGCTATCTGTGAATTTGAATCAATGTTATGTCCGGTATTTTACAAGTCAAGGGTGGGCGCGGAGGGTTTCAAAAACCTTTTTCCAATTTTTGTCCCTCCCACCCAAAACCCAAAAATTTCCAAAGTACACAACCGAGCGGGAAAAACGAAAGCGTAGTTTGTCAAACAAACTTCAGAGCCAAGAATCAAAAATGCGTACAAAGCGATTGAGCTTCGAAAAGAGCGAAGCGCTTTTCTTTTCAGTCGAGGGATTGAAAAGATCAAAAAGTTTGAACGAAGAGTTCGTGATGAAGTGAAATTCCGAGAGACCGTTTGAACATCCCCAATCGTTCAGCCGTGCGCTGGGAAAAAGATCAGACCGTTCTGTCTCGTGCATCTCAACTGTGATATATATATATATGTTTATATATATTCGATATATGCGTGTTCTTATTCTTACCGTGGCGATAGCCTCACCAAGTTTTTAGATTTGTAGTCGCGCGTTTGAAACATTGTTTATAGCGACTTCATTTCACGCGTGTTTTGGTTTGTGTTCAACTTTATGTCATAACAAAGGAATCATCTTACTAAGTGAAGCTTTCACGGAAATCAATGCTGGACTAGTTATTGTGTTGGCATCTGGACATTGCAGGCCAATTCTGAAGTCTGACCTTGTCGACCCTGAGCGAGACCCAGATGAACTTGCCGCTATTGCCAGCACAGCCTACCTTGGCCATGTCGAAAGCTACTTATCGACCACCCAACCGCCTTGTGACACTGAAACTGCCGTGTCCAGTGGCTTGCTAGGATCACCACTTTTAGGCACCGCCACTCGATGTGCAGCCGATTGGTGTCATGCCTGGAGCATATTGGGGCAATGGTCAGGGTTGGTCACTTTTCCTGTACCTGCAAGGACGGCTTCCAAGGCAGACAACCCAATTTTCATAAGTGGGCCCGGCCCGCCTATGAGCAAGGGGCCCTGCCAACACTCAGCCTCCTCCCAGGCGAGGTTGTGATTAAAGTGTTACCAGGAGACAAGATTTATTAGGCTATGGAAATTGAACCGGGCTTCATGAGGCCTGCCATACTGCATAGTTTTGGAACCAGAACCAAGCAGCGGCTGCCATCGCGACTTAAGGAATTGGCGCAATTCGGCTGGTTACCACTGGCAGCAGCCCTGTTTGGGACAGCAGAGTGGCAGCCGCAGTGGCTCCACCACAACTTTCTCCCAGTCATCGGCCTGCGCGTCCGTGCGAAGATCCCACCGTCCCCACTCTCGTATCAGCAACAAGTGGCGTTGCTCGGTTTGTGGGAACGAAGACCTGCAATTCGGACTCAGTGCCGGGCCCTTGCCCAGGCCGCTGAACTCACATTTGGCCTCCCAACCGTGTTCCGCGCACCAGAGGATTGGACAACAGAAATGAAAGGAGAAGTATTTGATCTCGTGCAGTGCTTCCAGCGGATCTATACGGGGGATGCAGCAAACACTTCGCAAGCTTCGCAAGCTCCGTTTGATCGGCCGAAGAAATGGGCACAATGGATTCTTTCGATGAATATTCTTTGGCAAGAGGACTCTCCCATGCCGGATCGACCCCTCACAGTGCACTGCAGTGGATTGGGTGGCGGGTTGCTAAGCCCTGACCATGAGTACGACATTTTCTTTCAGAATCATGCGCAAATGAAAGTGTATGGCCCCTCACTGGCAATGACAGATGATTGGGAGCAGCGCATCACTCAACTCGGGTTGACTAAAACTACGCATGAGTACGCAATCTACCAGCTTTTCTCCACTGCCCTGGGATGGAGTGCATGGAAGCCATTTTTGCCGGATAAATTTGCCAATCGAAAGCTTTTGATCACCCGTGCCATACGGTTATTGACTGCGGCGACCATCCGGCCAGCACATGCAAGGCCTCCCCATCCCACATGGGTCACTGCAGTTCGTCAAATCTTCAGGTGCTATCACCCACAGGGCAAATTGATGTTTTTGCGAGCCTGCTTTCCTCATTATGTGACGGCATCCATCCCAGACGGAATTAGGGACATCGATGTCCTTGGCTTCTCGGCGGGATCGTATACTGGACTGGCAATCCATAAAATACTCAATGAATTCGATTGCTTCCCATGACCTGCAGGTACCACTAAGGTAGCAGCAATTGCCTCTCCGCCCGAAATGCTGAGGCTGGCAACTGGGGAACGAAGAGTGGTGCTTCTGCATTGTCTTGAGGACCGACTCTGCGTGTGGCATCCTGACACCCTCACAGACCTTAGCTATAATATCGTCTTCATCGACGGGCAACCATCCTGGAGTGGCCGGGCACGACATGCATATGGCCACCTATTGTTCACACCAATTGAAGAAGGCACCCATCATATTGATTATCTCCAGATTACGACCCCGGAGGTCATACCGCATGGGATACGATGTGAAGGGCTCTTACGAGTGCTCTCATGGGTCAGCTTTGATCTCCCTGATCATTGCAAACGCTGCTGGCGAGGGATGCCCTGATCTACATATGGTGCCATGTGATGGCAGACATGTAAGAGATGACCCCCTTGCTACGGAACAGGATTTGCGACAGGTCTTAATTGACATGATCCCAATCCCTGGGCAGGCGCACGCGGAAGGGGGAGAACTCATGAGGAGCCTGTTAGCTGAATTCCTCCGTGGGTTTTCTCTGCGCACATTGATCTTCCTGCTGGATATGGTGTTGCCTCAATTGGACGCTTACCATGCTGGTCGTCAGCTACAGCACCTACAACCCTGGACCAGCGTTGAGTTGGCGCAACGACAAGAGCGAGGTCAACCGGGAGTCGAGCTCGTGGTCCGATATGGATATGAGGCCTTTGCTGGTTTTCATGTTGTACAGTTGCTCACAGAGGGTACTCCCCTTTTGCTCTTCAGCGACCCGAAGGCGGTTCCTTCCGTGTCGCCATGGAGTCTATGTGTAAATGGCAACCTAGGGAGCATGGAAGCCAATGTTATGGCAGGTAGGGCACTTTTTGGGCGTTTCCAGCTCCCTGATGGCCCGCGTCGCTGTGCCATTTTCCTGGTCCAAGAAAAAGTAATGCAAGGTACTAGTCGATCCGCGGATTCCCGTGCATATCGTCGAATTGCCCCGAAGTCACTTGAGCTAGTCCTAGTCTCCAGGCCTGTCGCATTTGCCTTTTGTGGCCGCCTTCTAGTGCAACAGCCAGCGGAGGTGGAATATTTTGACCCAGTGCGAGATTGGCCGCAGCCTATTGTTTTCCATGCAAACTTCTCTGTGTTGATGGAAGAAATGGCATTCCTTGGTGACACACGAAGTCGATGTGAATTGCTGGTGTTTGCACAGGCCAACCCGGCGCGACTCCCATTGACAATGGGCATTCTCCAGCCCAATATCCCAGTGCGAAGAATGATGAGTGAACGCAGGACAAAACTGACAGATGCATTGGTCCGAGTGCATTGGAGTTGTTCTCCCAGGTCCACATGATGAGTACATGCGCGACAGCCTACTCTCTGGGGATGGGCATGTCCTCATTGTGGCAGTAGCATTGCTCCTGGCGATCCTCACTGGCCGATCTGACCTTTGTATCGCAGGCGTTTTTGGTGCCGGAAAGACTCGTTCCCTAGCAGTGTTGTTAATTGCCCTCAGCTGCGAACTAAGTGACTTCTATGCGATTGTTTACAAAGAAAACGTTGCTGCAAAAGCTCTAGCTGACCAAATCAGTGACCTTTCCCCACCAACGCAAACAGCCTTTGGACGTTTACTGGGCCGCATCGAGGAAGGAAAGGGCGAAGCTTATGCAACAAAAATTGATGTTCGATGCAGTGATCGCAATAGAGTCATTGCTGAGAAACGCATTCTGATTGCAACGGGAGGCTCCGCTACTGCGGAAATGGCCATGAAATACTCATCATTTAGTCTCTGGCTCTCCGAGGTGTGGCTTGCATTTATGGATGAAAGCCAGCAGTACGGCAACTACCATGAAATTGCCGCCCTAGCTGCAATCCAGCAACCGGCACTGATTGTTTTTGTGGGTGACCACAGGCAAACACCTGGAGGCCTATCCAAGGGAAGGGCTGCAGCAGCGAATAGGCAGAAGCTTCTTCACCGTCCCCTTGGACTACGAGCCTTGAATCGCCCTGGAGATTATTTGCCCCCTGCCCGGCTTACCAAGCTAATTGCCTTCCTCTGGCCGGATGCGAGCCAGGATAACGACTCTGAAGTGGCTGGGCTACTCAACCTTGGCCAAGCACCACATACAGGAATTTGGACTACTGAAACAACTGCCCAGCGCCTACCAACCTCACTGGCGCGCCTTTTCAGTGAGGAAACGCTCAG